CTTATTTTATGACAACCTTACTTTTATAAAACCTTATGACTACTCTAAGTATTGTTAGCTACTAAACTACTGTTAACTGCTCTGTTAGTGTTGTAAGGTGATAGCATGTGGCCTAAGTTAGTAACTACAGGAGACATAGTCCTAAACATAAATTAAGGAACAAAAAAGGTTTTATTTACCTTGCAGTCCAACAGCAGGTGCTAAAATATGGGTTTGAGTCCAAATTGTATTGTTATTAATTATTATTATGTTATCCATTGTTATAATCCATTGGTTTATGCAAGCATGGCTCCACGAGGCAAACCAAAAAGAAAAAGTGCAGACTCCCAGTAGGCAGCAGTCTACCACCTACTGGCAGCCAGCTCTTTGCAGGCTTTTCCATTTATGCTGTTGAAAGGGAGTTTTTCCTTCCCACTGTCACCAAAACACTTGCTCATAGGGGGTCAAATGATTATTGGGGTTTTGTGGTTTTTTTGTATTATTGTAGGGTTTACCTTGAGGTGATTGTTGTGGTGATTTGGCGCTGTATAAATAAAACTGAATTGAATCAACAAGCTTTGGTACTCTCACTGATTAACTTAAAAAAAGTTTAATGCTTGAGTTCACTCTGTATTTCGATCTATTTTAAAACGTCTATTCATCTCCACAATTTTAGGGAAAATCATACTTACTTTTACAACTAAAGTCCTTTATAGATGGTCATAGCCTTCTGGGCATGAAACTGCCCACAGGACCAAATTTGAACTTTGAAGACTTAATTACCTTGAGGACCTTTGACTGAGATGTACTGCTGCTTTTAAAGGAGTAGACCACACCATTCTCAACATGACGTGTCTTGACAGGAGGCAAAAATAGTGTCGAAGGCAACATTTATCACAGAGAACCTTCTGATTTCACCTTGGTATGTCTACATAATCTTCATCTTCTAACCCCTGGAGCTAATTTTAAAAAATGGGCTAGTTTACCTTTTTGTTTTTGTTTTTTAACAAAAGGATTGATTCTTATATACAGCTGTTCTACTCTACTTGATTTTCCTGACTCAAAGCACAACATGCCTCATTCACCCATTTATAGAAGCCTTTCAAATTTCCATGCTTAAGTGCTTTGTATTTCTAATTCACACGCATTGATACTCTGGATGCATCGGAGAGCAACTTGAGATTCCGTATCTTGCTCAAGCATACTTGGTATTGTTGCGAAATCGATCAGTGTAGAGCAGTGAGACAAACCACGGAGGCCCCAGAAAAGTGCAATCAAACGATGAGTTTATTAACACACAGGAGAAAACATCAGCCTATGTCCTCTGACCAAAATACATGTTGTGGACACTTATAAAGCAGTGGGGTACACGCCCCCCATGGCGTCAATCACAGATTAAAATAGGTTAAAGACATTAGTTAGTTACAGTGAATGGTACATCTTGTACATCTTTAATGGCTATAAACAGACATAGAACTTCTCTTTTCTATAACACCTTCCATACAAGGTAATAAACTTCAAGCCCTCAGGGTCTCTGGGGCTAATTATTGACTCTGGTCATCTGTTGCCAAGTAGAGTAAAATATAGACACCAAAGGAGTTAAGGCCTCAGGCCTGACACATTCCTAGATTATATGTGTTATATGTATTGTAAGCATGTATTGCAGAGGAAACAGAAACAAAAACAAAAAGAGCCACAAAGTCCAAACAAAACAGACAACAGACCATTGTCTGACCCGGCCAAAGGACAGTCAGAGAGGATTCTGACTGTTTGCAGGTTGGCCCAGTCATGCATTGAGGTCTAGAGGCAGAGGCCAGTGCAGGCAAAACAGTTCAGGAGTCCAAAAACTGAGATGAAGCAATTCAGGAGGCCTGCCAGGTGGCAAGCAGTGTAGAAAAATAAATTCAGGGAATCGGCCAGGAGGACGAAGAATGAATAAAATGAAGGAACCCTGGGAATGGGCAATTGAAGAGATGTGGCTTATCTTGCTGCAAAGATGATTAATTGGAGGCTGGTATTGACGAAGACTCCTCAGGATGCAAAGCCAGTGGTCAACGAATTGGAAGAGAAGATAGAGACCCTATGGCTTGGGTTCAGCTTACAAGGGACCCTCGGCCTCAGGCCAAACAGGACCAACTGGCTCAGATGGCTCGGACCCCACTGGTTTGGGTGATGTGGACAGCACTGGCCTGAAGACCACTGAGAAGAGGTGATCAAGAAAACCTGGAAAGCGGAAGCAGAGGAAGCTGAGAGTGTGGTGGTGGCAGGTTCCTCTTCTTCAACCCACTGACCATGGCTGCAAAGAGGAGCAGATATCCTGCAGCAGCTTCATGAAGGAACTCATTTACCACAGCAGTGACATGAAGGAGCTTGTCTACCGTCTTCCTCCCTCAGTTCTGTTAACATATTTTCCAAACAAGAAGTCTTTGGAGAAGTAGAGGATTCTTCTTTAATCATGCATCTATAGTGACCAGCATGGCTGACAGTTTTTATGTTAGGGGACTGGACGATGCGGTCAAGGATTTTTTGCACACTGGTCATTTCCTTTCTGTACCTTGAAACAACAAAATACAAAAACAAGCCAGTATATACAAACCAGGTGATTAGGGAGATGGGAAACGCCTGGGAACACAGCTGAACAGACTGACTAACGAGACAAGAGAAAGTAAAACTAAACACAGGACACACACAAAACAAAACAGGAAATAACTAACATTGACACCAGGAATAAGACACACGAGCTTAGTACAGAGACAGAAGACAAAACACAGAGACAGAACCAGAACAGACAACAGTTTAACCCTTTAAAGCCGGTCTGAGCTGCACGCTCTGTTTTGCGTAACTATTTTTAAATCCCGGTAGCTCTGCAACCACGT